GATCCCTTCAGAAGGATTTTCAGGAGACACGATTTGCCTACCGTAGTTCTAAGATATTTGGTATTTTGATTTTCCGCTTGACGTCTCAAAGCGTCACGCGTACCATCTCTCACCTGTTTTGCTAAAAATGGCTGCCATCCGAGCCCTAAATCCAGATTTTCGGATTTTGCATTCCGCGCCGATTCTCCTGACGGTACGGTACCAGGTACCAGTTTCTGAATCCGCTCTTCCAAACTCCTCAAACAATCCCCAGCTCAGGCACTACGACATATCAAGTCAGCCTTTCAAGACGTCGAAGAAAACTCCAATAGGCAAATCCATGCCTATTTTGACCTGTTTTCCAGCATTGCAAATGGAAAATGCTTTTTAACTTCGAAAATCATCCGTAACCTTGACTGTGAGATTTGACGATTCCATTTTGTCGTCCTGGGCCCTATAAAAATGAGACCTGTGCAAGTGGTGCGGGAACTAACGGCTAGTCCACGCCGCGCGACAACCTCTGGGGCTGCTTCTTCCCTCCTGCCTGTCTCCACAGACCACCCGAATATTGCGGCTTTTCGGCCCGCTGAGCCGTCTGCTTTCCGAATTTTCCCTCTGCACACGGAAGCAGGAGAATTTGTAGATTGATACCTCCTATTTTTGGTCCTAATATTTAATGAATATCTATGGTAAAAGAACTAAAATTTTTACATTTTTTGTTCCATAATTTTTCAGCAAAATTCATTTTTATAATTGTCATTTTTGAAAAAAGCTGCTCTTATTCTAGTTGATTCAGATCTATAAATTAATTCTATTTGAATAAACGTTGAAGTATATTTGTTTTAACATCAATTTAAAATCGTTTTACTTTAATTTCCGCCTTCTCTGACTTTTCGGGCAGTAAATATCCCTAATAATTGTCATTTTTAGGAAATTTTGGACGTTTGTATTCTTTTAAACGCGTTTAGTTATTTCTTCCATTTCCGGCCGATTTCCTCCAATTTCCTCCGGCTTCTACGAATTCGACGATTTTTTGTAACCCGCCAAAATCATATGGACCACTTCGAAATCCCGAGACCCCATGTTTTTGCACATTTTCGGGTTTTGTAGCATTCTCGGGGGAACCGGAAGTCGTTTGTAGCCCCTTTGCTTGGCCCGGGTACGGAATTTTCCCGGCTTTTCCCATGCTCTTTTTGCTGTACTATATTTTGCTAGGCGTCAATTCGTGTGGTGCGTATTGTCACGGAATTTCGGTTGGACCAATTTTAAATTAAAAATTCGTAAGGTTTATGGCCGGGTACGGTATGATACGGTATACGGTACTTCGCTCCACGGCTAAAATTTTAGTAAAATTCTATAATTATTCATTTTTTAGTATAATCAGCAAAAATACCTAATTTAATCGGTACCTATCTACCGTAACTCATGGAAAATGCTAATTCTGATTACGATAATTTAAATAAATACGATTAAGGGCCGAAACTATATAATTAGAAATGACATAACTTTGGTTTTATTAGGTGTTTTCGGCAATAGAATTTGTTACAAATTCCCTATTCCTTGTCCTTTCGAGCTACCGTAGTAAATTCACAATTCCGATTGCATTACCGTAATCCCCCGCCCGTCGAATCGTATTATCTCGTAGTGGTGGTGGTGGCATTCCACTCACCAGGTGTATATTTTGTTGTTGGCTTAGGCTGCTAGGGCCCACTGCGGCCCACCCACCCCAAGCAGAACCCCAATTTTCCGGCGACACGAGAAAACGGGGCCCATAAGCGGAAATCACTGAGGTGTTGTGTCGTATAGCTCTTTTTTAGTTAAGTTCTTGCTTATTGTTTCTAGATTTGTGGGTATATTTTCTTTTCCGCAAAGGATCTCTGCTAAGTTGCCTGGATTTATTAGGTTGAAGAATGTTGCCATTTTTTTACATTTTTGACAAGTGATTTAATAAATTGCCTTTTAAAAAACCCGTTGCTAAATTTTTAATTTTCTTGATTTTGCGAGCTTGCTACGCCTTTCCGCAAAGGATCTCTGCTAGTTTGCCCGAAGAACCAGGTTGTGTTTGGCTTATTCTTAAAAATCACTTCCTTGTTCTAAAATAAAAAAGTTAGGTTAATTTTTGATAACATCCTTTTACGGATTTTCCTCTTTCCTTTAATACTTGAAGATTTTTTAGCTTATTTTTTGGATTATCCGCAAAGAATCGCTGCTAGATGGCCTCAGGCAGGCGCGTAGAAGGGGGAGGGGGCAGCAGGGACGGTGCCCCCGAAATCCGGCGGGCCCGAAAAAAACATAAGGGTCCCCCCTTATGATTTTTTTTCAACTTGAAAATTTTTTCCCCTGCGGCGCTGTTTTTCTTACTTTTTCTTCATTTTTTAGCCTTTGGCGCTGGGTATTTTGAAGGAAATTTTCGCCTGCGGCGCTCAAATTGCGAAAATTTTTCTTGCTGCCCCCCCAAATCAGCTTGCCCCGAAACTTGGGGTCAGCGCTACGCCCCTGGCCTCAGGTATACCCGCAATTTATCGCATTTTCAAACCTATCCCCTCTTCCCAAAAATGCCGTTTTTGGACCTTTCTACAAGGATTCTCTGCCCACCCGGAACTTTTACCTTTTTATTTGTCGCCTACCACCGTTCCTTAAAAATGCACTTTAAGCAGATTATTAGGCAAAAAAATTCGATTTTCTTGCAGTAGCCGCAGTGGCGCCCTTCCGAATGGCCACCGCCGCCACCGACCGAATCATCGAAAATGGGGCCGACGAGGAGATGATGTTGTTGGTTTTTCTCGATCAGACACTGTAGCTCATCCTCATTTTAGCGAAATCCCAGTGCTCCCGAAGGGGACCGATCTCGTGCTCCATTTGCTCGACAATTGGGGCGACACGCTGTGGGTGGGGCTGAACTGCGTCGAGGTGTTCACGGTTGATGGCACGCGAGCTGGGATTGAGAAGGTAGTTTAATTTTTAAGTATACAGGTCTCTTCCTGGCTTCAATACTCCTTTAAAAACCGATAAATCTTGTTTTCTAAATCGCGCTCAATCCACCATAGCCTGACCGCGCGCTCGTCGTGGTTGTTTGGCAAAGATTTCGCTTGCCACGCAAAATGTCCGGGTTCGACCCCCAGGCGCGGTGAAACTTTTTGCTTTTTGGTGAACAGCTAAAGGATGCCCCTTTTTGAGTAGAACCCATTTTCCAGGTGAGCAGCAACGCTACCGCCCAACAGCTAGGAGACATCCAATGTCTACTGGTCGAGAATTTCGGCTGTACAGATGGTGCTCAAATGTGGTGCGCCAGTATTGGAGAGGTACGATTTTTAGTAGATCACATACCTAAGCTTTCTACAATTGTTTCCGACTTAAAATGCTTGTTTTGTTGCCGGTATCCTTCAATGAAAACCACTCTTTTAGGCGCCCATCGAACTGCGGCTCCACTTTGCCAAGTCCGAGGCCGTGGCGATGATCCGGATTTGGGTGGGCTTCTGGCAATATATTATTTAACGGGTGTTTATCGTTTCTAGAATTACAATGAATCTCGTGTCCATGCACAACGCGGGGTTCGTCGGCTGAATATGACCCTCGATGGGGAGATTATTTTTAAGTGGGTATCGTTTTCGATTGAAATTGCTAAATATATTTTTGATCGTGGGGATTTGGGTTTTTAAGTTTAAATCTAGATACAAATACAATTCCTAAAATATCTCTGCTAGCTTGCCACGAGTTTTTGGCTTCTTGGAAAAGGAATGAGAGTTCAGAAATGCTAAAAAATGGCTAGCTTTTCTTAAGACTTTCTAAATTCTAAATATGTAGTTTTTGGTAATACTATAAGTAATTCAATACGATTTTATCACATTGCCAAAAGATCTCTGCTAGTCTGCCCTATTTTGAAGCATGTCTTGTAATGTTACATCTCAAAATTTAATTTTTTTTAGGGGTGAAATCAAATGTGCCTACGAGTCGGAAGAAGAAGCGGAAGGCATGGGTGATGTAAGTTGTTTATTTATATGTCTTTTCATCCATTCATTACTAGACGGTCCTCTTCACAACCGACGAGGCAATCCTCGAATCCATCGCCAACAACGACCTCTGTCTCATCCACGATTTTGACTTTGCCAATTCGACGCAAGATGTTAGGGAACAGAGCGGTAATTACGCAACATTTTAGCTAAATTTATTTATCTCTTTTGTTAGAACATTCCGACGCGCTGATGACGTTCACACCGTATCGGCCGACGACGGGCGAATCTTTTGGAGAGCCCGCGCGCCGAGCCAAAGTTCTACCCTGTAAAGGAGGCAATTCCGGGCAATGGGATCGATTTAAAAGCGAAAGGTAACTTTATAAGGCGTTATTCAATTGATTTGTAAATTATTAATCTAGTCCGACTTAATATTAATTTTTTATAGTACTACACATCGAGTTGCTGTCAAATTGGGGAAGCCGGGATTCGATCGGGTTGACCGGGCTCGAGGTGAGCTGTTTTTTTTGTTTCCAAAAGTAGGATAATACTTTCTTTTTTTCCAAAATACAGTTATAAACTTTTTAATTTCATTTTTGAGTAGTATGTGACCTTTTTTACGCGTCTCTACGTCGTTTTTAGATCCTTGGCCCCAACGCGGAAGTGGTAAAACTTCAAAACGTCCAGATCAGTGTATCGAATGGCTCGCCTGGAATTGAAAGGTATATATTATTAACACTTATGAAACCTTAGTTTTTAGCCTAATAAGCGGACGCAATCTATCGCGCAGCCCCTCCGAAATGTGGCTGACACCGTTCGACCCTAGCAAACCGCCGACGATCACCATCAACTTCCCGCAACCGCAGGCGATGACTGGTGAGAACCTATGCAAATGAAAATTATGGGTTTTTTATGCGTTAAAGTTTAATTTCTAGCTGTTATTCCTCTTTTTCAGGTATCTCCTTCTGGAACTACAACGCCTCACCGGAAATGTCGTACGCAGGCGTGCGCGAGGTCCGAATCCATGCCAACAGCAAGCCGGTCGTGGGAAATGCACTTTTAAGGAAAGCCCCAGGTACGAAAACAGCTGCAACTAAAAGTTTTAAATTTTAGGCTTCGTCTTCTTCGACTACGTCCAGGATGTGCCCTTCACGAAGGCGTGGTCCCAGAAGACGGCCGTTCCCCGTCCGCTGACCCATTCGATCGATGGATGTAGGGAATTAAAAGTGAATTTAAAATATTGCTATTTCAAGTTATCTTCCAACTGCGGCTGCTCTCGACCTGGGGCGACGAGTTCTACGTGGGGCTCAACGGGATCGAGCTGTTGGATAGGAGAGATCGTCCGTTGAAGCTTCGACCTCACAGTAAGTCAGGATCGATAACGCATCAATATTCCTCAAGAATCTCGGCTAGCCTGCTTGAAATCTCGATATTTTTCTAGGCTACAAAGCCTTTCAGATCTCGCCGCTTTCCCCGAGTCCATCAACATCCTCCCGATGGTCGACGGAGATCCTAGAACTAGTGAAAATCTCATAGATGGGTGCAACGACACCGAGCGGTTCGTGGTCATCTCCTAAAAGACAAAAACTAACCTTTTTTAGGCCCGAACACATGTGGTTAACCCCGCTTTTACCCAATCGAGTAGCCCGCATCTTTATCATCTTCGACGAGCCAACATTTGTCTCCAAAATCCTCGTCTACAACTATCGAAAAACGCCCGAGCGTGGTGTACGCCACATTTCGGTAGGTTGAAAATACATAAAAACCAGACATGGCAATTCCGATCGGCCGAGCCGCGCGGCCCGGCCGGCGGCCTAATTTCCATAAAAAATGCGGCCCCCTACGAGCCGCCGTAATTAGTTACTTCCGGAAACGCGGCTTCGCGGCCGAGCCGCATTTTCCTCGCGGCTCGGCCGGGCCGCCGCGGCCAAGCCGCAAACCGGAAGTAGCTCTTCTACATACCAAAAATCCGCGCATTTCATGCGAAATGGAAATGGAAATGAGAAAATTAAGGCTGTCGAAAATAAATCCTCCTCGTTAGCAAGCTAAATACCCATTACATCTCGGATTTGCGTACCGGAAGTTCTCAAAACTCATTTGGATGCGGCCTTAAAAGCCGCGCGGCTTGGCCGCCGTGCGGCCTGAAAACGGAAAAAAGCCGCGGCCGCACCGGAAGTGCGGCCAAGCCGCGCGGCTCGGCCGCATTCTAATTTTTGCGGCCGAAAAAGCCGCGCGGCCCGGCCGATTGCCATGTCTGATAAAAACACATAAAATTCAATTGCTAAATTATCCATAAGAGTCCAATATCACTTCTAGGTATCCGTCGACGATCTGATCGTCTTTTCCGGTGAAGTACCCCCATCCACCGGCCAACAAACCGGAATTCTTGAAGTTGGAATGCGAGAGGACTGAAAAAAGCGTCTTCTCGCATCTAAAAATGTCACCGGTGATATAAATGTGATTTCGCAGCCTTGATCTAATCTATTATTGTTGTCGCTTGCTTTGCCCGTGTCGCCTCTGAATAAAATGTGAATTGGTATTGCGAAAAGATATCTAGAATCTGTTGATATGCACATTTATCGTGGAATCACATTTCGGAAAGAGATCTGAAAATTGAACTTTTGAATTATCCATCTGCCATCCGGGCTTTCTTCTTTTCGGGCATCGCCTCGATAAGCTAAATTGATGGATTTTTCGTAGTTTGCTTGATATTAGTGCAGACTCACCATTTGTGTGGTAATACCCTTCCTCAAGCAAGCATCGGTGATATTTCGCTCGAGCGTGGCGACCCTTTCACCTCGTCAAACGTCCATTTTCCAAGCATTGACGCGCCCAGCTGCTCGGCGGCTTCTTCTTTCGCTTCCTTAATATTTTTTGGTTTTGTTTTTGCTTCTTCCCTTACCTTCAACTTCAAAAACACTGCCTCGTCACGGACTTCCGGCGTACTGAAGCGCCAGTAGCTCCAATTCACGAACACCTCCAAACGATCGAGGTCCACCGTTTTCCAAAGCGCTATCGCGGCCGCTGTTAGGTATCTAAACGGAAATTGGGGTAATTAAAAAAAAAACCACTGATTAATTTCATCTTTGAACTTACTCAAAACTCTCGACTATTCTCGCCCACGTCTTTCGCCGTAGTTCCCCGGAATTCGCCTTCTTTGGCATTCGATCTTGGACTCGACATATCTAAATTGGTCATATTGATGTTATTCTAACACTACAAATACCTTTATGACGCTAAAAACCAGACATGGCAATCGGCCGGGCCGCGCGGCTTTTTCGGCCGCAAAAATTAGAATGCGGCCGAGCCGCGCGGCTTGGCCGCACTTCCGGTGCGGCCGCGGCTTTTTTCCGTTTTCAGGCCGCACGGCGGCCAAGCCGCGCGGCTTTTAAGGCCCATCCAAAATGAGTTTTGAGAACTTCCGGTACGCAAATCCGAGATGTAATGGGTATTTAGCTTGCTAACGAGGAGGATTTATTTTCGACAGCCTTAATTTTCTCTTTTTATTTCCATTTACGCATGAAATGCGCGGATTTTTGGTATGTAGAAGAGCTACTTCCGGTTTGCGGCTTGCCGCGGCGGCCTGGCCGAGCCGCGAGGAAAATGCGGCTCGGCCGCGGAAGCTGCGTTTCCGGAAGTAACTAATTACGGCGGCTCGTAGGGGGCCGCATTTTTTATGGAAATTAGACCCCGCCGGCCCAACGAACGCGGCTCGGCCGATCGGAATTTGCCATGTCTGC